AAACTGCAAGATTATGTATGTAGATCTGTAGTTTCAATTCCATGAGACCTCTTTCAGGTAGCCACGTTCACAGTTCAAACTATCAAATCAGATTCCACCCTACCCTCCCAAATTCTTATTAAATTGTCACAAACAATGTTAGTATAGGTAGCAAGTGACTGGTTTATTAAAATAAGAACTACTAACAGAAAAGGGGAACTTCAGGGGCCAATCAGATTTCAGCTCTGGCCAGTGCCCCCCTGGTGTTGCCACTAGATCTGCCCCTGGTTATTACTATAGACTGCATAAAAACATTGACAACCTGACAGCTCCTCAAAGTAAAGGATGGTTTTTGCATGTGTGAGGTTATGGGATGTAACTACTCTCATCAGCAAATATAACTTCAGTGAATATCTCCACATTACTGTGTAGTTATATGATGGTTTCTCATAGGGTTAGTTTTTTGTCCAGTTTGTTTATATTGGCTCGTGTGTGTATGTGAGACTAGAAGAGAGAGTCAGTGTTTCTGAAACCTGTGGCACTCTCTTGCGTTGTTTGCATCACTCCTTTGTTTTGCTTTCATTGCCTTTGCCCCACTGATGAGCACCGATTCCCATGCAGCCTCTCCTCCCCCTGGCCTGTGAGTCTGTCTTCTCTGGATGACTTCACCTTCTTACTCTGTCTATTTTCACCATCTACTTCTTCTATATCTATTATTATATCACATGCACTTATTCCCATTTAATTGTTTTTACCTTCACTTATCAGATACCTGCTTACATTTAATCTTCACCCTGTCCTGGCTTCCATTTCTCTCTCTCTTATCATTGTTTATTCCTCATTCAACGCTTTTTCCTTTCCCCTCTTTCCCTTTAGTTTGCTGTACATCTCTGCTTCTCTCACACCTCCGTCTTCCTCTCTTTTCTTCTTTTTTAACTCATCCTCTCTGCTGCCACTCTCAACTCTTCCTTCTCTCTCTCTTCTGCCTCTCTGCTGCCACTCTCAACTCTTCCTTCTCTCTCTCTTCTGCCTCTCTGCTGCCACTCTCAACTCTTCCTTCTCTCTCTCTTCTGCCTCTGTCTCCTCCTCCCCCTCCTCTCTCAGGCTCCTGTTCCTTAGTCCATCAGGCAGTTGAAGCAGCTAAACTGCTGGAGGCGAGAGCAGACAGAGGAGCTGCTCTGTCCGACCGCCCTCCCTCGCCGGCAAACTAATGCAGACACGCCAATAAGTTGTAAGGAGACAATTATTCACCATTTATATCAGCTCCCCGTCTTTCTGATTTAGCGCAGTATACCTTCATGGATCTCAGCACTGTTGCCCCACAGTGTTTTTAATGCATTTTACCTTTTCATGCATTAGGTTTCCATGGATTGATTCATTGGGATTTGCACTGGGGAGGTGGTAGCCTACAGGTCACAGTTTGCGTGTATTCATGGATATTCACTGGTCAAATGCAGGCTAACTAGGAAAATGTGACAGAGGGAAACATAAAGAAGACATGATCTCATCTCCCATTGCTACTGTTATCAACATGCATTTCAGCAAGGCCCTTAACCCCCAATTGCACCACTGGATCTACTCGGTATCCATCAGATAAAAACTGTAATTATACTGTGCAGCTCCCATGTGTGAACCCGAGGCTGAGCTGAAGAGTGCACAGACAACCTACTTTAGTTAAATTATCATTAAATGTGAGTTTTCTTCTTTAATGCTAAAACTAAATCACTTGATATCTTCCATATCTTGGAGAGTAGCATTTAAAGTTGAACTTATATTTACATCATGTGATCATGTTTTGGGGTTTTACATCAAGTGCATTTGATTTTAATTTTTTTTTTTAACTCAGCAAGCAGGATAACATGAAGGAGAGAACTTAAAAAGCAGTCTGATTGAATATAGAAAGCTGCTGCAAGAGTAATGAAGTATACTGTGTATACTGTGGGTTTTGTGGTATGAGTTTGTCAGTCTGTGTGTGTGTGTGTGTTTGTATTTGCATGTGGCTACACAGAAGAAAAGGCAGCGGTACGCTGAGGAGGTCTATGGAAGAATCATGATTCGACTGAGGAGCGAATGATTGAAGGCTCTGTGGATGAGCTCCTCAAACATAATAGTGGAGATTATTACGTCTTATATTCAAACAGGCGTTCACTTTCATTATTTCTACAGCCTTTACCAACACACACTCCAGAAAATACACAGACCGTGGGAATCACACCACAAACTCTCTGTTTTCTCTTTTCTTCTCCAAAATATGCAATTCAAGAAAAAAAGGACAACACAAAGATAGCTGAGCAAAAATGTTGAAAGGATTCTTTTCAGTTGCCAGTCAGCTGTTGTGATGTGCTGTGATATTTTCTTAAGATCTCCAAAATGCCCACTTTTATACAAAGAGGCTTATTTAACACTCTAAACTGCCTCTGGAGGAGATTATGGCAAAAGTGCCTCTGTTTGTGTAGTTACCCACCTGGTTACAGCATAGCTCACACTATATGATTTTCAGTCTGATTTCACAGTCGGCACTGGATCGGCAGTCATTATAGCTCTGTGTGAACACTTCAACAACGCAATCAGAGAGGCTTGCAGATGTGTCCCAGACAAGTCGCAAAGATTCCGATCTGATTTCCAGCCTGTTCTAAGGTGGTGAAGGGTACCTGCTTTTTATGCTTCACATGTCCAAAGGTGGGGAAGACGAGCAATAACCACGTGTGTGAGGGAGAAAGTGACACAAACTCAGTGCAGCTCATACTTTAATTGCATCCCGTGCATACAGATAACACACTGGGTCAGATGCCTTGGGTTCCGTTAGGGCTTGGTTAGTTTTTCCTCAAGCTCAAACGATTTTCGGACACAAATATGAATTGTTTCACCTTCTCCAGCCTGATGTATCATTCCGTTGCAGGATGACAAAGAAAAGCAGGATTCATTGTGTTGGTTTTTGTGATTAAACATAGTTTGGGCACCAGCCGAGGGTTTCTCCTGGTGAAAGATTGTGTAGTGTGTGACTTCCTGCATGACTGCTAAACACGTCAGTAAATTGTATAGTGCTAACTGTGCAACTCGGCTTTAGGAGCAAAATAAAAAGACAATCTCACAGGTTTTTAAATAACCACATGGCTGAAGCTGGAGCTGAGTCAGACCTGCAGTCTTTTCCTTCGTCTCTATTCCCTCTTCTGTGTCTTGAGGATGCAGAAATGTAAGTGGACAGGCACACTCGCTTTGTCCCAGTACCTTAAGCCATTAATGACTCGGCTCGACTTGTTCCGCAAACGACAACACACAGAGACACATTCAGGGTCTTCTCCCACTCTGAACTAGATTTTCTGGCTCTGCGTTGTTATGTCTGATCGAGTTGAGGTTTAAGGTGAACAGCCTGCCCACTTCCCTCCTGTCTGCTCAATGATAACAGTTGTATAGAACAGTGAAGATTTGTTCGCCCTATGAATCAATGATAATCACATCATTGTGCGAGGCTGTCCCCCACGCCTCTCTCTGGGGTTTCACACATCTCTCCAGCCTTTTTCTCCTCACCCGCTGCTTCCCTCGCTCCGTCTTTGTCTCTCCCCTCCTCCCTCCTGTCTCCCTTCATCATAAGGGAGATGAAGCCATCTGAGGTTACTTGCACGCCAGCCAGCCCTCATGGGTCAGTGCTGTGCAGACTTTATATTGTAGTTGTCACCATTGCAGAAAGCTCCCATCATGCATCTGTCATCCATTATTTCTGCTGCTGCCGTCACAGCCTGTTGTTTCTTCAGTATTGTGAAGTGGACTTGAGTGTGGTGCAAGGGAAAAATGTAAAATCAGTGAAAGGATTTGAGCTTCTGGATACAACCATCTCGTTGCTAAGTGCTATACAAATAAAGTTATTATTATTGTGCAAATGAAAACAGTATTTTTTGAATTTGTAACAATGACAGCTGATAACTACCAGTGACTCTGAAGGATGATTTATGATTTGGGCTGTGCAAAATAACGCATGCTAATGCTCTGTCATGTGGGCCTCATTGAAGATAACACTTACTGTGACAGTTCTGTTTTGCACCTGTATTATTTGTTGTAGTGTGATTGTGTGATTTTGAAATTAATAAACATGCTTGATGGAAAAAAAACAATGACAGCTGATACTTGCTTAACCTTCATACCTCCATTCATTTGTTCTTCAGTGTTTTTTTTTATGTAAACCACAAGAGAAGTCGTGATACCAGCATCAGAAACACCTCTGATACTTCTGGAAATGCTTGGTTGGGTGTCGGCGAGTACACAAATCTATGCACTTTATTTAAAATATATTAGTTTCACGCTGATAAAACTGCAATTTTCTTTTCCCAGAAGCCATGTCTTCTTCACCGTGCCAAGCCGCAGTTGCGCTGCTCTTCTGTTGGCAAGTCTTGTTTTCAGAGAAGTTTAGGTTGGTTTCTTTTCAACTGTATCTGCCAATACGCAAATCCAGGTATCTGAATCTGTATTGGCAGAGGAAACATGTTATTGGAACATCTCTAGGTTTTGATTGTAAGTTTCTGATTGCTATTCAACCCCACCTCAATGTGGTCATAAGGCCCCTTACGCTGTGCAGACAAAGTCAACAATGGATTAATGAGCGTGGTGAAATCTATGGTTTTGACATTGCTGGTTTACAGGCTTTAAAAACCAAAGATGAGCATTGGAAATTTAGGACCTAAAATTTCTACAGTGTGACTGTTGCTATGACCCAAGTTTACAAACAAAATGAAAAATAACGCTGTTGGTTGAATCATAATTCCTCAGATTGTCAAAATGGACAATTTGTCAGCAAACCTTATCACCTGTATCACTCATCAGTTTTACAAAATGTCTTGTGCTACTTTTTTCAATCTGAGTCATTGATACTAATACTCATCATCACACACAATCACAAAACAATGACCTTTCTGCTGTAGAGATATTACTAAACATGTAATGTGGTTTCTCTCCCTCTGTGTTTGTGTGAATACGTGTATGTGCCTGTCTCTGTTTGTGTCGGTGTGTGTGTGTGTGTACGCTCACAGCTCCAGCTAATGCCCAGATCGTACACTCAGGCGCAGCATGTAACGTCAAGGATGATAACATCAGCGAGAGAATCTACACCATCAAAGAAGGAGACACACTCGTTCTTCAGTGTATCGTCAAGGGACACCCACGGCCACAGGTGAGCTCCCACACCACCTGCTGAGCATCAACATGCTGTTTTACATGTGTCAGGATGCTGATGCCGTCATTCAGGGGGAGGTTTAGAGACTCTAGGACTCAAGGACACATGGACAATAGTGTTTGTTGAGGCTCAGAACACAAGCTGTCAACAATGCAACAAACAATATTTACTGCATGAACATAACTGATGGATAGAGAGATTGACAGCTTTCCTGTGTTTGGATGGATGAATGAGCCAAACATTTTTTGGTCAAGAATATAACCCAATAAAATAACCAACATCAAGTTCTCTCGTTTATTTTTACCTCAGCCAAGGAGGTTGTGTTTTCATCTGAATTTGTTAGCAGGATTATGTAAAATAACTCCATGGATTAACAATATATATATAACCCATTAAATGGTGGATTGTTTTTACTTTCCTTAAAATTGTGCAATTTAGTTGTTTCACCAATTCCCCAGGAAATAATTCAGGGATCTATATGAACTTTGTTTTGCACATTTAGAGGACTGATATCTGATAGTGTGTACAATTTGGTGCACCCTGATTGAATTTAAGGAGACTGTTGGGCCTCGGCTGAGGTATGCATTCTTCTCAGTGCTATTCTTATACATTTGATTAATGTTAGCAGATTACACAAAAACTACTGAAAAGATTTTCATGAGGTTTTGTGAGGTGTGGGCTGTAAACCAAGGAAGAACCCATTCTTGATTATCAGGCTTTTGAATTATTTTTTCACTTTCTTTAACATGTTGAGGTGGTGCGTCAGCCTTGGCAAAGGTGTGTTCTCCTTGAGAAGCCCTCAATAGTTTCTATATGGATTTAAATAGAGGGAGTCAAATGACCACATCAGAGCTGTGAATCGTGATGAAAGATGATAAAGAATTAGCCTTGATCAGCACTTGTGTCTGCCTCTTTCTTCATTTCAAATTATTGAACTTCTTAAAAAAAATGTTGGATTGACTGTGTAGGCCTCAGTTTCTAGATAATATCCACTCTTCATAAGAGTCCAGTTCTCCTTACACCAGTATTGCAAAGCCTAAGGTCTTATCGGAGTTGTTAATGTTGTAAAGCACGAACATATATATATTTGATATATTTGCAGTATGAAATGATTTTCTGTCCAATGCATACATTCAAATCTACATTTCACTATGTTTTTCTTTAAAACTACACTGGGAAGAAGTGAAGAAGAACAAATGCTTTTATACAACAGCTCAGACTCAGACACCCGTGCTGTGTGTGGCATGTTGGTTTAAAAAGAGCACTGCCTTTATTTTTCCCGATATCATCACATTTGAACATTTTACACAAAAACACAGCTAAATTGGCGAGCAGTCAAAAATACAGTATATCAAATGAGTGACTGCATGAGTTGTTACAGACCAAGATGTAAAATAAACTGAGGTGACTGCAAAGGGTTGTGTGTTTTGTGTGTATTTGTGCAGGAGTGTGTGAGGTGAGAAAAGCTGTGTTCCCCACAGGTGCACGTCCACTGCCATCACATCATCATGAATAAAACAGTGCCTGTGTGTCTGGACCCGGTTTTCTTTAGTCTGTGTTTATGTGTGTATCGATTTTGTGTATGTGTGTGTGTGTGAGAGAGAGAGCGAGAGAGAGAGACAGTTTGTTGTGTAGTTGTAGATGCAAACTAATTATCTCAATGTAACTGAAATATCTAATTACATAGTGAATGTTGACCTAACCTGTCTATATTAGCTGTGGCTGTCATTTCTCGCTCATTTGAACCATCCATCTTTCTCTCTCTCACACACACACACATGGATACAAACCACATTTACAGGCCACGTGCCCCCAAACAAATGCAAACCAACTTTTAGCAAAACTTTTATTTTCACTAGTGCTGGAATAATAATTACACAAAATGAAGTTGGAAAAAGCGTACTCCACAAATTCATTCCCCTGGAGCAGTAAGATGCCGGAAATTGTGTCAGTGATTGCTTGTTCTGTGGGTCGGAGGTTGGAGCGTATTTTGAATAATGATCACATTGGTCACAGCCAGAATGTAAAATATATATAGTGTATGTGCACAAGCAAAACTTACCCTGCCTCAGGCTAAAAGACACTGACATGTAAAATGTATATGAATACACACACACTGACAAACAAAGGCAGATGGAGGCAAACAAACAGACAGACTTTGGTGTAGAGATGCAGCAGTGAAAAAGCTTCAGTTCCTACAGATTATGTATTTTGAATCATTGACAGATCAACTAAAAAAGCAAAATATTTAGCAAAACTATTTCAAAATGTAGATGAGATATTCCCTGTAAGAGTCTAAAGTGACCAAAATGCATCTCATTTAATTAAATATTCAGAAAACAACTGAATGATATCTAAAAGGCGCATCAACTGAACCATTTGTTTTTATTATGACAACATTGTTGATGGTTTTTCCAATTAATTCTTGTCTTTCTGTCTATTTTTCTTGAGATTAGGTTGTGTATGCATGACTGAAAGATACATATGAAGGTCCACAATTCTTTTTTCCTACCTGATCTCATGGTCTTCGTTTCTGAATGAATCTCACTCAGTTGTTACAGCTTTCTTTATAGCTGTCATTTGGGATAAAAACGTTCTCAACTCAAAAAGAGAAGAGATAATGATGTAAGATGACAGATAAGTCAGATGCAAACACCTTAGAAGGCAATGACATGTGGTTGAAAGCTGAAAACTTGTAACTGTGAGATTAGTTTGCTGCAATAAATGTGTTACTGAAATACAGTAGGTTCTCAACCAGTGGAAACTTTGAATTCTGTAAGTAAAGCAAGCAATCATATGAGGCAAATGCATTTTATTGTTAGTACCACAGTTAACAGCACAGAGACTATTTCTGATATTCTTCATTCCACTTATATTATACTTTGTATAAATTCACATTTTGTTTTCTTGTATCAAAAGTGAAATCAAGTCAGAGTTGAAAATTATAGTTGCCCCAAAAATGACAATAACTGACTTGTTTCTGCAGATGCATGTGTGAAATATACATTGAAATATACAACATGATGTAACAGTTCATGAAACTGTCGAATGCAAAAAATATGCCAATAACAGTGTGGTCAACGCTGTCAGTGAGAATGTAAACAGAGGCTGTCAAGTGCACATGCACAATGTGCAAATACAGGAGAGAGAGAGAGAGAGAG